GTGAACACTTCTCTGGCTTGCCCTATGCTAGATATTGTATCATCCGAAGCAATCGCAGAACAAGTGTCCGAAAGTTCATCTTCTGAGGACATTCCTTCATGTATTTTCTTGTAATCCCTACGTCTGATGGCTCTTAACTGGAGTCGAGACATCCGTTGAGCAATTCTTAAATTGACTTTTCTTTCCGGGAAAAAGTCGGGATTTGATTCACTTGAATGCCGCTTAGATTTTCCTTTATCAGCCATGTTGATGGTGACTTCAGGGAATTCGTCATCTTGGACAGCTGATCTTCTATTGTGAAAATGTCTCGGCTTAGGCTTCGACATTTTGGTGAAAAGCCTCTAGAACACTGAGACTCTTTGCGGGATAGCTTCTCGTTTGGAGTAGTCACATTCCGACAGTACTGCTCTAATGAGTCGCATACAGAAACAATGAGAGCTCATTTCTCGGACAATCCTCTTCTGAGTTTTGTTCACACCCCCAGCTTGATAGTACAACTCATCGGTATAATTACCGGAGAATCCTATCGTCTCACACCCCCAGCTTGATAGTACAACTCATCGGTATAATTACCGGAGAATCCTATCGTCTGTTGGTATGACCCCCAAGGTATAACGATGTCTTTTGACAAACATGTCTTCTTCTGAGGATGTAAAGCCTTGTTGGCGTTCTCAGGATAACTTGTTGTCGCATTTGAGCGATCCAAGGTCACGTCAGGAGTCGCATGTTTAGAACCATGCCCTTGCGGGTGCAGAGTCTTAACGGGCTCCTGAGTTTCGTTACGAACTCCCAAACGAGTAAAAATTAGGGTTTTCCTATCCTAGAGTTGTTTTGACTTGATAGGAGGATACTTACGACTCCCAGTGTAAGAATCTATTTGGGGTTCATTCACCGGACCCAAACGTTCTTTGACTGGAATTCTACCTCGATCATCAGGTAAAGGACCAAGGCGATCCGCCATTGTGATCTTAAATTTTGACAAGTCGGGACTGACCCATGACTTCACTGGTAACATATCAGAAGTGATTGCACTAGACGAACCAGGAATGGATATCGACGGAGTCAAAAAAGAGGCATTGGAAGTTTCCTTTTTGCCGCCACAATGGAGACTACCGCGGTCGAAGAAGGTGCCTTGGCAGTAGGGATTACCGCGGTTGAAAGAGGTGCCGCAGCAGTGGAGACTATCGCGGTTGAAGAATGTGCCGCGGCAGTGAAGACTACCATGGTTGAAGGATTGATCCTGCTGATCCAATTTTTGTGTAAGTTTGGATTTGGGGATCCACACTTGGCTGGTTCTTGGTGATTTTTTAGACACCATTTCCTCCTTCTCTTCTTACATTTTTGTTGCAAAAGAGCACGGACATGAGCGGCGTTTGTACGACGCTTTTGTATACGTTCTTTGAGAGTTGAACGAACCCTTTTGACGAGAGTCCATTCCTCCATTGTGAGTTGTGCAGAGATATGAGTGGTTTGACGTTGAGGCGACTGAACCAATTGATGCTTCCTCGACTCTAGGTCCGCGTAGCAGCAAACCCCGTCGGTTTGTTCCAAGACCTTAACTATTTGACTAGCGAGGCGTTAGCATTGCCTCTGACGAGCTCTCTTCGTCAGAGTTGGCGAACTTTGATCGAACGATTCCTTAATTAGGGAGGAATCATTATGAGTAGAGCTTCCGGCTTTTGGGGTCGCCGGGATAATGTTGCAAGGGGAGGCCTCGGCAACGATTGGGTGAGAGTCTTCACCTTGGGCCTTCTTTGGCATGTAAGCGTTCTTCAATGATGAGATCCTCTTGTACTTGCGAGACAATGAAGATCTTGAAGAGGATGGTGAGAGATATTCCTCAAACTTGGTTTGGTCGAACTCGTACTCGACTGTGGATTCAACTGGGATCTTGATCGGCTGCGACACGACTGTCTCGGAAGTGAGACCGTTGGCTCCCACTGTGGTCGCCAGTTTGTTTTCGTCAAAAGTTGATGCTATTGTGAAATTCATTATATCTTCGGTCGATTATAACGAATTCAAAAGAAAATAGTCTTTTTATAAGACCTCTTTTACACAATAAAAGAAAAATTACAACTCTCTAGAAAATAACACAGAAATTGTTTATCGATTCCTGTTTTGTGGGACTTTACCTGTGCCGGGAGTGCGTTAGCTCGTGGACCACTGATTCACAAGATCCTGATTGGATTGCGAAGGTTTTGGGGATTCTTTCTTCGTTTATCGAAGTAAGAATTTAAAGCGGATATCTTATCGATGTAAGATGTTCACTCTTTCAAAGATCAAGTCTGAGCTTAGATCTCTAGGAATCACCAAACGCTGTTTATGAAAGATGAAGACTCTCTCTTTCTTGCTTAAAATCACCAAAAGCTCAAGTCTCTATGCTCCAATCTGCTCTCCTCCCTTTTTCGTGTATATGGAGGTATTTATAGTGATAAAGGTGCATAACTGCTGAAATGGGGGTGAAATAACCAACCAGCCATATTCCCTTTGGGCGCGTCAGTCAAAGGTGACGCGGTTGAAGAAGTGCCTTTGGCGCGGCAGCCATAGGTGGCGTGGCTGAAGAAAAATCTTTTGGCGCGACAGCCTAAAGGAGCGGTTACCCCTCCGTTTTGTAACCGCCATCCCACGACTTTTAACTCCTTAAATGCCACGATTTTCGTGGGTAGTGGGTATGATTTTCGCTCGTTACTGCTTCCCCCATGTTCATAAGTGACCCACAGTAGTTAATAAGCTATGTGGGCCGCACAAAACTCGAGAAAATTATCAAAAATAATGTTTTCAGCTTCTCAGTGGGCGCGGCAGTGGGCGGTGACGTGCATTGCCGCGGCAGTTACCACTGTCACGTACCTTCCGGGTATTTTAGTTCTAACTTCTTCATCCAATATCGGAATAAGGTGATCTAAGATGCATTAGAAAGCTGACGAAGAGATCTACAACTTTTGTTTTTTGAGCTTCTTCAGATTTGGATCATATCATGGCTTAAATGTGGGATACATTGCCACGGCAGTCGCTGCTGACGCGCACCTCCGAGACCATTTGTGCTGTCTCGGGTATTTTGGCTCTAACTTCCTCGTCCGATGTCGGAATGAGGTGATCCAAGATGTGTTGGAAAGCTAGCGAAGAGCTCTAGAACTTCCCATAGGCAAGACACTCTCTTTGCTTCTTTTGGCTTTGGATGATCTCCTCTGACTTAGATAGTTACATTCATACCTATAGGCATTTTTAGACGCCTACACCCAAGTGGGAGATTGTTGGATTAAATCTGATTATGGGCACATATGTAATTTTAGTGTGTAATGCTATCAGTTAAGGTTAACCCGTTAAAGTGATCAATTAAGTTAATTCGGGTTAATGGGTATTTAATTAAATCATGGGCTAAATGTGTAGATACCAGGTTATAATTATAATTTGATGAGGGATCAAATTATAAATGTACAACACCTATAAATAAGGGGTTATGGTCCCTAATCTAGGGTTAACATTATCTATTCTCTTAATCCCCATATAAAGAGATTCCAAAGGAGAGACCCTCAAGATTAGAAGATCAAACCCAAATTCAGATCCGTGCAAATTTGTCATGGATTTAGGTATTGCTTCCGCTCTTGTTGTTCTAATCTCTTTGAATTAATCATGGTTAAGTCTCAACAAATACAAGATGCTCTACCTATAAATTATACAATTTGGATTTAAAGGTAAATACAAAAAGTTAATTGAGTTTAAATATACAAGCAAAAGATGTTGAGTTTAATGATAAATCAGGGTAAATTTTTGGGCCTAGAAATATAAACCCCAAAATAAGAATATTGTACAGAGTCAAAACATTGATATGTTAAATATTTGATTGTGGACTTACCAAATGGTTACATTGGGTCCAAAAACATACTTTAATGGGAGAAATAGATAATTTAATACTTTCGGAAAGAAGTTCAAAGTTCACCAATATTTTAGCTGAGAGTAGGTCATTTAATCCATTCTTTTATTACCCTTTATCAACTAATCAAATTCTAAATCATCTACAAATAAAAACAGTGGCATTATTAGTATATATCACGAATTCAATGCACATATCAATAATATCTATTAGTACGAGTAGCTATTGTCTGCGAATGAACTAATAGATGATTACAATGATGACTGTAGTATACCGTTTTCTTTCCTCTCTATACGATATCCTAATTAAAGGGTTTGTTTTAGATTAATCCTGAAGAGACCTCTTGTACTATCGCCCAATTACGGATGGACCCTTTAATTAACTTTTGTAAATACGCAGCTGCATGCCATTTTTATGACTCTTTTTCTCTTAGGGCCTATTTCGCTCAAACACTCGGAAATGAGGTAGTGGAAATATGGTGTGGATATCAACTTTCCAACCTTTTCAGGGATTATCAAGGAGATGGTTTATATATGTTTATTTCGCATGGTTAAGAGTGGAGAATATTATGCGGAAACATATTTCCTTTGTTTGGTTTGAAAAGAAAACACCAACAATTACAATTGAATTCACATTTCCATTATTTAATTCATTCCCAACTGTCCAAGTACAACTTCCATATTATTTAGTCTACTTTATCTAATATCTAATTCACTTCGGTGAGATTTCCACACAATTTCGGAGCTTCTGGCTAGGTATTAGTTTTCCATGTTTTCTGACCTCTTTTCCACATTGAGTTTTTTTGAACTAAATACCTATAAAGAAAAACTATAGAAAACTTCAAATTTCGTACTTGAGGTGTGTCTAGTGCATGTAAATCATATTTGCATAATTTTATATGTGAACCAAATGGCCCCTGAGAGAAAGAGAAAATCATTTAACAAATAGCTCTCCTGAGGGTAAGCGTCAAAAAATTTCTATCAGGAAATCTATCTGAAATAATAGAACCATAGGGGTCTATCTGCAATTGGTACAGGGTCTTTCGGCAATTAACCCCTTTTTGCCCCCGCATGAAGTATATTGACTCATCTCACCCTGTAAAATGTTCGGTATGTCAGTTACCTTCAAGCCCCGCCTACAAAATTCAGCTGACATGCAACCCAAAGCCATCAAAACATGCATTTTCTCCTCCAACTCTTAATCCCCTCCAAACCCAAACCATTAACAAACCCTCTCCTCCTCAAATCCCTCACAACCTCAACACTCCCTCAAACCCCATCATCGTCGTCATCATCCCCCATTCTCAATCGCCAACCCAACCCCCTCTTCTTCCCCTACAAGACCCTCTTCTTCCACCTCAAGTCATCTCCCGACCTCCAAGAAACCAGAAAGCTGCATGCCCTTGTCATAGCCCATGGCCACCTCCACCAAAACTTCAGCCCGGTCTTAGGATCTCAACTTGTGCACACCTACATTTGCCTCAACAGTCTCCAAGAAGCCCTTTTGGTCTTTCACCATTTGCCCATAAAGAACTCCTTTGCATGGAATTCAGTCCTCAAGGGTCTTGTCGATGTGGGTCACTTCTGTGATGCACTGCGTTTGTATCATAGCATGATGAGTGAAGGGCTTGTGGCTGATAATTTCACATACCCGTTAGTCCTTAGAGCCTGTTCTGGCTTGTGTGATGTTGAACAAGGCGGGATTGTGGAGAAATCCATCGAATTTGATCGAATTCATCGCGGCTTGGAGCCTAATGTTTATACAAAGTGTGCACTTTTGGATATGTATGCGAAATGCGGTAGATTGATGGAAGCTCGGAGGGTGTTTGATGGAATGCCGGTAAAAGATATGGTCTTGTGGGGAGCGATAATTTGTGGAACAATGCAGAGTGGAGATTGGATGGAGGCAATGAGTTTATTTAGAAGGATGAGGTGGGAAGGGTTTAGGCTTGATTCGGTGATAGTGGCGATGGTTATTCCGGCTTGTGGTAAACTTGGAACCCTAGAATTGGGTATGGGTTTGCACTGTTGCGCTATGAGAAGTGGATTTGTCGACGATCTTTATGTTTCGAATGCTTTGATTGATATGTATGCAAAATGTGGGCATACTCATGTAGCTTCTTGTATTTTTCAGTGTATGGAGTTCAAGGATGTGGTCTCTTGGAGTAGTTTAATTGCGGGATACTCACAAAATTGTGAACATAGAAGGAGCATAGATTTGTTCATGGAGATGGTAGAAAATGGAATGAGTCCAAGCTCAGTTACTCTAGCTAGTGTTCTTCCTAGTTTGGCAGAACTCAAATTGATGAAACAAGCAAAAGAGATTCATAGTTATGTGATAAGGCATGGGTTCGAGCTGGATAGTTTTGTCGCAAGTGCACTGTTGGATCTTTACTGCAAATGTCAATCAATAAAAGAAGCTGAATTTATTTTCGATATCATGTTTCGTAGAGACATTGCTATAGCCAACTCTATGATCACAGGCTATGCCCTTAGTGGAGATATGGAGTCTGCCTTGAGAACATTACAAAGAATCAGAAAAATTGGATTGAGACCAAATTCTGTTACAATTGTGACCGTACTTCCACTCTGCAATCGCCTTACAATGCTGAACCACGGGAAGGAACTCCACGGTTATGTACTGCGAGGTGCTTTAGATTCTGAAATTTCTGTAAATAATTCATTAATTGATATGTACTGCAAGTGTGGATACCTTGAACATGGAAAGAGAGTTTTCGAGCAGATGATTGTTAGAGACATTATAACTTATAACACTGTAATTGGTGCATTCGGAATGCACGGGCTTGGCGACCAAGCAATCTTATTCTTCCAACTCATGAAGGAGGAGAGAGTTCATCCGGATAGAGTAACATTTATAGCATTATTATCAGCTTGTAGCCATTCCGGTCTCATTGAGAAGGGCTTATACTTCAACGATTCCATGAGAAGAGACTATGGTATAGTTCCAGATATGGAGCATTACTCCTGTATGGTTGATCTCTATGGCAGAGCTGGGTACTTAGACGATGCATGGAATTTTATCAAAAAAATGCCAATGGAGCCTGGAATCGATGTGTTGGGAAGCTTATTAGGAGCTTGTCGTGTTCGTCAAAGGATCGATCTCGCTGAGCTCATATCGAACCGAATTTTTGAGAAGAAACTAGAAGATCCAGGGTATTATGTTCTTATGTCCAATATGTATGCTGATGCTAAGAGATGGGAAGATGTGAAGAAGGTTAGAGCAGTTGTGAAAGAGAAGGGGTTGATGAAGAAACCCGGCATTAGCTGGATACAAATTGGATGGCATGTTCATTCATTCCTTGCACGAGATAGGTCACACCCACAATTTGATAAAATGTGCCAGATCATGGTTGTCTTGATCCTAGATATGAAGGATGAGGGATATGTTCCAGGCATAAGATATTTGTATAATTTAGGAGGAGGGGATGAGGATATAGGTGTAACAGAAATAACACTGTAATATTGATGATTTTGCCCCACTTCATAAAGCTATAAAATGCGGTGCTTTTTAGATGATGGTCCCTCAAATCTTCTCTGATTTGATATCAGTTCCTCACATCATTGAAATTGCAGGTAGGTCCCCTAAATCATAAGCATATTTGCAAGTTGGTCCTTGTAGTTGACTTACGTTATATTTGAGGAGAAACCACCCTTGAAGGTAACCTTTTGCGCAGTGCGTTTGACCAACCCATTTCTCAACGAGTTTAAACCCATAATCCACAAACTAAAAACTCAAAGCCACATTCATCTTCTCCGACAGTACAAAATCTCCTTAACCCAATTCTCATATTGCCCATGGTCGTCTTCCCTTAGAAAGTGATCACTGGGAGGTATTTTAGTAACTACGTTAGGTTGTGTAAACCATGATTTATAAATTTAACAGAGGGACCAAGTTGCGGTAACCCTCATGACTTGAGGAACCTATCATTAATTTCAATGACGGGGAATAATATCAAATTATGAAAGATTTAAGGGACCAATATCTAAAACCCCCTAATTTTAAGATCAAGACAGTTGCTCTCTATCTCTGTCCTGAAGAGAGACAGGATTTGTTCCTTCTCCTGGATTATTAGAGCTGTGTATCTTCTGAGAAGTGATGCTTAAATTCATAACAGTCCCTAACAAGCGCCCATGGCTACCGGTTAGGAAAACCCAATTCTTAAAAGGGAAAATTTACAAAATAGACCATTTTTATAAAATATATAGCGAAATATACCACTTTGAAAAATAATTAGCAAAATAGACCTCTTTTGAAAAAAAGAGGTCGATTTTGAAAAACAATGCTCAGAAAACATACGGGACTACTAGTCCCGTATGTTTAGAGCCAACTAATCACGGATTAGTGACTCAGAAAACATACGGGACTAGTAGTCCCGTATGTTTTCTGAGTAGAAAATTTTACTAATCCGTGATTAAAACATACGGGACTAGTAGTCCCGTATGTTTTCTGAGCTGTTTTGCAAAATAGACCTCTTTTTGGCCTGTTGGCCAAAAAGAAATGTATTTTGCTAATTATTTAGCAAAACGGTCTATTTTGCAAAATAATTAGCAAAAACGGTCTATTTTGCAATTTTCCCCTTCTTAAAATGATCTGCTGATTTTATCTTAGAGAGAAAAATTGACAGTAATTTGCCTTCTACAGAGTAAGATGTGTGATTTTTTGGTATCATTTTGCAAAACTGGTTTGTTTCTAAAATACTTCATCCAGTTCCATTGGTGTTTCTAATTTACTGGGATTAGTTGGTGGAGATCCTTTGACTTGATTTTGAAGAGGAGGATGCAGCTTTTTACTTACTTCAGGAATTTAGCGTGAACACACCAAAAGAACTTTCTGAAGGTAAACGCCTGATATGATTATGATTACGTCGATACTTCTGTTGTCGGCAAAGACCGAGGCTATGCTCATCTCGGTCAACTTGAAATTTTATCCTTTGAGAGCCATTTCAACATTCAGAGCCACCTAAAAGCGGGTAAAATTTTAGGAAAATGCTAGAGGCTCCCTAACCACACACCTATCTCACTACGGTGCACTGGGGTCCACGTGAGAATTTTAAAAAAAATCTCGTAGGTTGGACCCTAGTGCACTGTAGCGAGAGTAGTGTGGATGGGGTGTAACTGTAACGCCTTTCAAAATTTTAAGGATATGGCAAATGATCAGGGCGAGGAATCTTGAAGATAAGATTTTCTTCACCAAATTCTTAAAATAATGATAGGGTAGGTTACCAAAAAAGGAAAGAGAATAACTGAAATCATTGCCACAAAGCGAAAAACGCTATCTGAATTTAAATAATATAATCATCAAACAGGTCATATCTAAGGCTAAACGATAACCTCCTCCTGTATTTTGAAACAAATATTCAGAAGTGATTTTACTTGTCCTTTTCCAACATTCACCAATCTATACATAGGTCCAGCTAAAAAATAATAATTAATTAATTAAATTACAAGAATTGCAAAAATTAAGAAGAATCAAATGAAGAGAAACTATCTATTAATTACTACTAAGAAAAATCTTATATATAGGTGCATAATCACCCCTCTTAGTACATTAAACAGCTGCTCTCTTCTCAGTGACACACAATAAAAGCTTTCCCCTTCACCTCCCAAAACTATCACGTCCATCTTGTTTATACAAAGCAGGTGGTTACTTGGAATCCGTATAGCTTCTGTCTACTCACCACCTTAAAACCAAAACCTGCACAAAATTCAACCCCTTGAGTCAGCATAGCTAAATTTTGCTATTATAACCTAAGCCCATGCATGATGCGTCCATACTCCTAATGAAACAGCGAACATACCTATATTCGCTAGTTATGTCTACTTGACGCATTCCCATTTTCATTTATAGTGTTTTTTGTTGCATTTTCAGTGACATGCGATGCTTGGTTACTGATTTGCACCAAGTTTGCCTGATCAGAAGCAACAAGAACTAATTAGACCGAGGATTACAAACAGAAACATTATGTCGAGAATCATTTTTTAAGGGTTAATTGTGGATAGAGCCGCTATACAGTAGCCAAATTGAAATTAATACTCCTATAGTCCTATTGTTGCAAATAGACCCCCTAAAAGAGTTATATTGTTACAGATGGACCCCCTGAGTGAAAATCTTTTGCTGCAGATAGGCCCCTTGAAAAGGGTTTAAAAAAAATCACTCGGTGGGTCTATCTGCAACAATGGAACTATAGGGATAGTAAGTTCAGTTTGGCAATAGTACAAGGGGTCTATCCGCAATTAACCCTTTTTGTAAATGAAAAGATATCACAACCTGCGACTCGCTTTTGCTTGTTTCTCGCTGTGCTTGATCTTTGCACATTGATGAAGGACCTGAATCTGAAACTTGCAATGGATTTGCTATCATTCCTGGTACTTCATTTACTGAGTTCCCTTTTGCTCTAGGGACAGACAAAGGATTGAAGAGTGGCGCACGAGGCAATGGCACGGGGAGTCCCTGCCCGTGACCTGGGATTCCGAACAACTGAAGACCTGCAGATCCTGGTATCCCAACCGAAGTGCAAGGGAATTGCGACGTGTGCATCGATGGTACTGGAATCAATGGGCAATTTGGGGAGCTATTCATGTCGAGCATTCCCATTCCGTAACTCAATCCCATGCCCATTCCCATTCCTACACCCATTGGCGAGAAATGAGTCATGGTTGGTGCACGAATATGTTGCATCCCTGGTGGTAACATCATAGGAGGCATGCATAGTCCACTCCCCATAGACATCATCTGTGTTTACCAGTGGTGTCCCCATATAACTTCTTAGTGCATTAAAAGTAAATATATTAAGGGTAAACACACGTATACATTGGCAATTTTTCAACTTTATCCTTGTTAACGTTGTTATCCTAATTCTAGTAGTGTGCTACGTAGTACATACAGGTGAAAATAAATAAAGGTATCTATAAAGTACGCAATCCAGTGGTCATGTGACATCACTTGACACTGTACAGATCAGGCATTGCTAATTAGGATGGCACAATATTTACCTGAACTTGTAGCTGAAGGGTTTTAAGGTACTCGATGGCCTCGTCAAGCATTGAAGCTTTGTCCACCTTGAAAATGAAATATAATCTCTTCCATTACATCTACATGCATCCAATAACAATGAAAACTGTAGTAGCAAGAAGCAAGAGTTAACCTTGTTGCAATTGGGTATAAGCTCCTGCAACGCGCGCATTTTCTCATTTATTCTATCTCTTCGCCTCTGTTCATAAGAAAATCACACTACATTGAGCATTCCTAGCCCAAATCAAGAAAGCAATCACGGTAGAGAATGAAAATTTGCAGTATTCACTTACTCTTTCTGACAAATTATGAACTTCAGCAGCACGACTTCGCTTTGTCCCTGTACGTCCTCGCCCTGCAGACGGTTTTTTTAAACCAGTTGAGTCATCGTCAGGATCCTGTCACAAAGAAATTAAAAAACATTAAGTTGCATAATATTTAAAACCCAGAATTCTTCTTCTTTTTTAATACATACTTCACTATGATACCCAGATTCATCTCCTTCTCGGTTTTTTCTTTTCGCTGTGTGTTTCGGATCATTTGACTCAGCCCCTGCACTGTTGCCTGAGCACACAGAAGAAGCAACAACTGCTTCAGGACCCTTTTCAGCCTCATTTCTTCCGACTGTAACACTGGCTGCAAAGCTTGAGCTCTGATTATTCTTATTATTACAAATAGCCTCTGTTCTCTGTTCGGCCAAAACTACATCCTCTTTACCCTTTTCATTTGATCTCACCTCCACTTTGTGCGAATTCAAACCTGAATTCCCTCGTAATCCACTAGATTCGATCAATGTTGATTCCATAGGATTAGTACTGGCAGTAGCCGAAGACACCTTCTCATTTGTTTTCAACCGATCTACGCTCTTATTATTAGCTCTAACGAGCGAAGGAGGCCTCGAAAATTGAGAGAAATTCATCAAGCCAACGCCATTGCCCGCTGCCAAAGGCTTTGAAACTGATACCAAATCTGGCTTCTGAAAATGGCCATGGTGAGTACTACTAGTCCCACTCCCGCCAGCACCAAAACCTGTCACTCTCGATTTTAGATTCCCAACCGAACCCTGGCATTGCTGCGGCAAATTGTTGCCCCTAATCTTACTAGGGTCTGAACCATCTCTGAGAGCTCTAGAGCTATGACCGTTCTCTGCATTATGCAAGTCTTTAGCAGCACACCCATTGCTCCTCTCGATGGTTGGCGGATTTGAGCTAATGCCGACCAACTCAGAGAAGAACTCTGAGCAAAGAGGATCCTCAATTGGGTAATTGATCCAAGGGGTCATATCATCTTGGGCATTCAACCCTATATTGGCACAAGGCACAGCAGGAGATAGCTCATTAATCGTCGAATCGATACCCTCGAACTGGCCAAACTTTGGGATTGTGGGATATTTGCCATATTTATCCTGAGCTCTGAGGTTGGAGGAAGGGAAAGGAGTAGGATAAGAGCTCTTCTTTGGTCTATGTGATTGGCCTTGCATCACAATCTGGCCATTTTCCCATAGAAGCTCCACAAATTCATTATCAGGCCTACGGGCACATGAAAATATTAAGTCAACAAAATCTAAGAAAATTTATGAAAGGAACTTGAAGAAAAAAAAAAGAAGATAAAGACTTACATGAAGGAAGGGACATCAGATGTGCAAGTGAATATGTTGGATTGTGAAGATTCAAGCTTTTTCGTTGCAGCCCTATGAAATTCAGGGAGAGGCATGATGAACTAGAAATGAAGTGGGTTTTAAACTAAAAAACCCACTTTTCAAATTTTATTACTTCAGGAATCCTCTTCAAGAAACCAAATCATTTCTCATCTGAAGCTTCCACTCAAAAACTTTAGGACAGCCCTCTTTCAAAACAGTAAGAAATCAACAAAACTAGAAACCCATCAACTAAAACAAGAAAAATTTGATCTCCCCAGCACTTCGGAACATAACATCCATACAAAGAACTTATAGCCTAAATGTTCAAACTCTGAAATGAATCAAAAAAGGAAAAAGGGGGGCATGTAAAGCTTTGGTTTTCCAGGGGACCTCTCTCTTTTTCTCTCTCCCCTCTTGTTCTCACCAATTTCACAGAAATGATTGGTTTTGGGACCAAATCCGATGGCCAGCATCTGTTACTTGTGCCCGCAAGACTCTGGAGGAACAAAAGATAAGGTCCCCTGTCCTAATTCTGCAAAAAAAAAAAAACATTTTGAAGGAAAAAAAGTTTACTCATGTACTGTGATGGAATAAAGTAATAAGATTATTCTTCAGCATAAAAAGGGGAATAAAATATTGGGTTAGTCTATATGCCCACTCTCACTTCCAAATCAAATAAAAATTATTTGGAGGAGGAGCTTTGATGTGCTCATCATTGTAGGATTAAGGACATAGATTGACTTGTATTAAGATAACCCTTTATTTTAGTAGGCTTGGGTACCTTGTGGGGAGGATTTACTTTTGATAATAGTACAGGTTGTTTGGATTGTTGCGAGCTTTAGGAGGATCGAAACACACATTGGGGGAAACATAAAGGAGGATATATATATATATATATATATATATATATATATTATATATTTATATATTATATATATATATATATATATATATATATATATATATATTAGTAGGGATACTCTTACGCTAGGGAGAATTAGGTGTATTTTATTAAGGATGGATTGAACTTATATAAGAATGATTAAAGGCCTTGGATTGGAGGTTTGTTGTTGCCCTCAGTCACTTTCAAACTTAAATCACTATAATTAAGGATGTTTCCATGTTTGTTACAAGGGTTTAAGTTTTAGGATTTTCTCAAATAAAACTAGAAATTTTTATTTGTCCTGAAAAATCACCAAGAACTTCCATAGATCTGCCACGAAAACTATCGTATAGTTACAATTATAGTGGTTATAAGGGTTTAAGTTTTAGGATAAATATAATTCATAAGATAATTTTGAAAGAAATCTAAACGTGGTTCACATGGGGGCTTTTTTTTTTTTGTAAATTGTGATGCGAATATGACTCTCGTCTTTGAGAAGACAATTGAAATATCTCTAAACTCGACAGCTTATAATCTTCTACTTCACTGCCTTCCAACATCAGGCAACAGTCTCCAATGTGATCCACCCATCTCTCCGACTCGACCACATTACTCCGAGCTATATAAGCTCACATTTAAGAGAGTTGCTACAATCACACCCTAAACAATACCCCAACCACAGTCCTCTCTCGCTACAGTGCACTGGGGCCCACATGAGAATGAGTGTTGCTATAAGGATCCAAATAAGGGACCCAAGACATGGGACAGGTGAGGTGTCACCATCCGGTTGCATGATGCACTGTTCATGAACAGTGCATCATGCAACCGGATGGTGACACCTCACATATCTCATGCCTTGGGTCCCCTATTTGGGTCCCTGAGTCATTAATGCATGAGAATTTTAAAAAAAAATTCTCATGTGGACCCCAGTGCATTGTAACCAGAGAGGAGTGTGGTTGGAAGTGTGGTTTAAAGGTGCGTCTCTAGCATTTTCCCACATTTAAATACAAAGTAAGGACGCAAATTGTGGGGTCAATACACCCACGATTCTCCCCCATAATTGGCATCTTCCAATGACGTGATCCTTCTCCGATCGAACGACACCTGCACTTCACATCGGGATCAAGCCGTTCGCGTGCTTGCTGATCTACATAACGCTACACACTGAAGTCCCTTTCCAAGGGATAGCACGGCATCAAGAAGTCTATTCCCGTTGAGTTGGACGGTAGGTTGGCCCCATCTTACTCCAACAGGATAGAATTTTTAGAGCCTGAGGTTGAGCAGACGGTTCGAATTCGGTCAGCTTCGACAAATTTTGATCAACTCGGAAAAAGCAGCCTAGATTCAGAACCAACTGAATAAGCTTGGTTCGGTACTTCCGATTGGTTTGGACGTGAACCCATTCAGTGACGAAAATTGGCTTTTGTGCTAAAGGAAACGAGGGTTAAAAGACTGATTAAAAAAAAAGATGTAGATAAAAGAAATCACAATGCAAATCGAACTGGATAATAATAATAATAACAAATTAATGTAATTAAATTTTGTTATCCTCAGATATGGTGTAATCATCTGGGCAATCCTACTGTTTGTGTATCTCCACACGTGTAACTCTGAGATTACTGATTGTAATTACATGGATAACTATTCAATCTGACTACCTGTTAATAACATTTATTTAGTTTTTTTACTGATCTGGAGTTGTGGTTCAATGGTGGTTAGCGATAGTGTTTTGGCTAAGGTTATGATTAGGGTCATAGCAAAGATTACCAAAACAGTTTCATTGTTATAATCCGAATGATAACCCTAATAGACAGTAGTCTTTGCTATAATTCTTACCCAAACCCCTAATCCTAACCCTAACCAACAAACATCAAAACCCAAAATCAACAAAAAATACACGCCGTGAAGTTATAATTAATAATCTCAAGGTTAGTTGTGTACACAAATATCAGGGTTACCAATGTAATTACAGGATACCTCATGGTACTAGAATGTAATTAATCCTGTTAAAAAAATTAGAGGAACATAGAAAAATAAATCAATGGATCAATAAAAACGGATGCAGATTTTAGAGATCTAAGAGCAGTCAATTCGGACAGTTCGGATTTGAAGTTTTTTAACCCAAACCACAACAGAATAAAACTGAATAGCGTTGCCAAAAATTCGGTTGTTTATTTATCCCTATTAGAGACGTAGAACATGTTTGGTTGATAGGAAGTATGTGAAGTAAGTAGTAAAGAAAATATATTACTTATAAAATTAAGAAGTGGGAAGTAGTGGAAGTACTACTTTTTTGTTTGTTTCAAAAAAATTTGAAAGTAGGGGAAATAGTGTTTCTACCACTTTATTCACTTTTTTGTTTGGTAGCAATTATAAATATTGTTAGGCAGATAGAAAGATGATTGTTCGATATTTTATTTAGAAATTAAGCCATGCAATAACAAAAATGATTTTATTCCTAAATTGACTCAATTTCAGCTATTTCTAAGGTATTTCTGAGCCTTGAAGGAAGGAAAAAGATTCATGAAATAGAGATGACATGTTGGCACCACGACGGCTTTTAAGAAGTACTGGAAGTAAATTTTTTAGAGAATAAACATATTTTTCTTCTTGAAAGTAGCAAAAATAACTCATACTTTCTTTACTTCAGCTACTTCATAGGTACTTCCGTGCAAACAAACAAGCATGGTGAGGATTTTAAAACTTTTACAAAGTCCTAATCCATTACAGTTCAAATGTAACAACTAGCTTCAACCTTCACCTACCAAAGAAAACCAAGTAAAAACTATCTCACCATAAAAGAATCGAAATAGAGTTGGTGTTATCAAATACACCTTACTGAACTGATCAAAATTACTTGAAGATGATGTTTGAGCTTATATGGAGACAGGTTCATGTGTAAATTGTAATCTCTAGACACATTAATTGTAGTAGAGTGGCCCAGACATGGAGAAGGATGACAGTGAAATGTGTGCCAGAGGTTGATTAAAGTATGGACTTACAAAACATAGGATAAAGCCAAATAATCTCACAATCTCTGAATATACAGTCCAAAGATCAAATTTCTCCCAACTGAAGGATTCTTCTTAGGTAAAGCTTAAGCGTTGTACATAACATATATGCTTAGCACCACCTATCATGTCTGAACTTTTTCATTTGCATGGAAATGTCTCCTGGTTATCTGTGACCATCATTTTAATGCGACATGCAACAAAGCTTTGTATAGGACCATTGGTAATATGTTGCGGAGATCGCCCTTGTTATCTTACAAGAGTCGAACATACACTAACTATTGTGTATCTACAGATAACAATGACATAACTCCTTAATACAAAAGGGTCTAATTGCTAATGAGAAGTCTAGAAATAATAAGCAGCTAACATACTATAGCACATGTAATTAACCATATTATCTATCACCAGATTATATCCTTCATAATTGACCACACATCTTGTTGGGGATCAATGAAGCACACCAACAACACGCACAATAAAGAACGCAACAATCAACACAACATCGTATTTTTACATAGTTTGGCTAAACATGCATACATCGGCCAAACATGCCTAAATCCACGATCTCTCATCCTCTGTATTCACTACCTGATACAATCCATATGATCGACACAAGTTTTGCACATACAAACTTGAAAACCCTTGCACATCTCACATCTCTCAAGGAACTCGAGAACACCGATCACTTAAGAGTTCTAAGAGGATCCTCCTACTCACAAATGTTGGGGAAACCCCCGATGCCGAGATCCAATACCAAATAGCCGAGAGAGAAGAGCAAACACACCAAATCAATGCCACAAACAAGATACACCAGTTTTAACGTGGTTCGGCGAATGCCTACGTCCACGGAACAAGGAAGGGGGACTTTTTCACTATTAGAAATCAAGGGGATACAACTAGAGTTACAAATCTCACCAAAAACCCATAACAAATCACTCTTGATCTCTCCCAAATGCTCCAACAATAGAAGCCCACAAAACCTCTCTCAATGGTTGCTAAAACCCTCTTGCACTTTGCCCTAAAACGAGTTTTGGGTATTTATAGAAATCCCAAACGAAACGGGTCTAGAAACAGACTCAACCCAAAAATCGCATCGCGGTCGACCGCCATGGTCGACCGCGCAGGTATCGCGGTCGACCGCCATGGTATCGCATCAACTCCAGAGATTCACGCGGTCGACCGCCACGGTCGACCGCCAACTCCCAGAAGCTCAGAAACGATATGTGCACGAATGCGATCGACCGCCAGAATCCCGCGATCGACCGCCAGACTCTCAAAAGCACACCCATGCCTGTCCAAGCGGTCTTCTCCATACGCTCGCCATTTCTACAATTCTCCACCTCGGCGAACGTTTTTTTCAAAACTGAGCCGACACTAACCACACCAAAATGTCTCACTTGTTGCGTCCAGTACGCCATGGCAACAGACTCATGACAACGGACTCCATCCTCAACAAGTCGAGACTCATACGAGAGTGCGAACACTCACCCAAAACGATAGTGTCTACTCACCAAATCGGCCGCATCATAAAGACTATCTACGTATCCTCTTGCCCAAGGAATCAAGCCTTCACGTAGTTCACCCAAATGGCCTCCAAAGACCCTCAATCCAAAAGAAGAGTTTGCAACTCTTCACCAACATCAACACCCAATGTGCGACTGATAGCATCACCAATGACCCCAAATTGACACGATCCAAACACCTCCACCTGAGATGACCCAATGGCCATATCCAAGCTACATCCACCAGCTGCACTTGAATCTACCAACTCATCATCCGCATCCGAATCCAAATAACTCCCATGCTGTACTACCTTAGCTGGAATTCCAAACAATACAAAATGACCTGGAGTATGTGGAGTAATCTCCACCCAATATGGAGTAGCATCACCCTCCACCCGCTACGATATCCCACTGATCTGATCTACACTCTCTACCTACCGAGAGTCCAATGTGACACATCTGCTCCGAACAAACTCAGAAGCTCTCAACTGATAGCCAAAAGGGCCTCTGAATCCTAATCGTGCAATCGGATCCAATCTCACATCCACGATATGACCAAGTGATGGGTAGCCAAACATCCGACGTAACCCAAAGTCTGAAACAGCTCCACCAGATCTAACAACTCTCAATGTAGCAGTCGGTAACCTCATAAGATGGCCCAAACATGTCGAAACTCGAATACAAAATCCACTGCTTAACAACCAACGCCGATCGTCCTCCAAAAAGGAACAGCTTACCGAATCCGTCATCTCAACTCGTCGCCCCACTGTCTCCTCTCATACGAAGTGTCTCCAACTGTCATGAGCTCGACACAAATACAGGAAAGAACCCCTACTAGAACTAGTACGATGGGTAACCTTTCTACCAACACACCTCCTCCAACTGTTGCGGGCTACTAGGACTTCATACCAACGGGACTTGGTTGCAACCCATAAATGCCTAGTACAATCCTCAACATAGGAAACAAAATACCGATTACCTCCTAATAATGCCTCCTTGGAAGGCCCCCCAATGCTTGACTGAATACTTCCAATAAGACCCCTGATCGATGGATAGAAGTGTCAAACTCCACCTCGGTCTTCTCGCTCATCCCAACGTGCTCAAAAGACTTCAATCTACAGGTCACAGCACTCCTCAACAATCTATGCACGGCATAACCAATCATATATCCCAGCAACAAACAATACCACAGTCTAGCCAAAGAAGTCGTCAGCTCTCTATTAATTACCGTGCTCCCAAGCAAATAATACAAGTTGCTCCTTCTGACGCCCTTCATCATAATCATGGACCCCAATGTGACCTTCAAGTGTGCATCCGCCAAGATCACCCTATAGCATGCTGCCTCCAATGCCCCAAGTGAAATGATGTTCTTCTTCAATTGAGGAACGAACCTCACTTCAACCAACTCCCGAATCATCCCGTCACTCATCCGAATCCGAACTGTACTGATATCACCAATAGGGCATTTGTGATCATTGCTCATGAGCACAACATCCCCTCTTTTCAACTCCTGAAAGATGAAGAACCAATCCCTCCTAGGGCATATGTGATAAGTATCACCCGAATCCAACATCCACTCGGTGGAGTCGGCAACACCAACTGACGGAAGAGCTGTGCACGAATAGCCCGAAAAATCCAAAATCTGAAATGTCACCACTAGCATTGGAAACATTCAACTCTGAAGCTTGAATAGTTTTTCCCTTATTCTTCCCGGCTTACAATTTTGGGCATTCGGCTTTCCAATGTCCATTCTCTCTACAAAAGGCACACCTTATTCTTCCCGGCTTACAATTTTGGGCATTCGGCTTTCCAATGTCCATTCTCTCTACAAAAGGCACACTGATTCCTACCAACTGCAGTGGGCATTCGGCTTTCCAATGTCCATTCTCTCTACAAAAGGCACACTGATTCCTACCAACTGCAGGATGTGCCTCTCTAGACTACGATCTTCTACCACGGTTTGGACTCTTAGCTCTTACGACCAATACCCCCGCTACCGGCTCAATGGAAGTCTCTTTGTCCTTCTTTCGAAGTTGATAATTCACAAGTACTGCAGTGACCTCACTATACGAAAGAAATGTCTTCCTATTAATAAGAGTAAGGACGAAGGTTTCATATTCCTCGTCGGGCAAGGAACGCAACAATAGCAACGCCTTGTCCTCATCTTCAACCATAACATCTACATTCGTCAAATCCGTAAGAAGCTTAGTGTAGTGGTTCATGTGATCACTAATGGATGTCACATTCTTCAATTGGAAGCGATAAAACCTCATCTTCAAATGCAAACGATTTTCGATGCTCTTCGTCAAATACTTGCCCTCTAGGACTTCCCAAATCTTCTTAGCCAAAATCTCATTCATCACATCATATTTTAGATCTCGAGTGAGACAAGACCTAATCACACCACACGTCGTTCTATTCATTTTTTTTCCAAACCTTCTCATCAATGTCGTCTGGTTTCCCGTCCAACTCTAACGTTTCTTCTAAATTTTACACATTTAGCGCATCCAAGACTTCGCATCTCCAAAGTCTAAAATTATTTGTACCATCGAATTTCTCCACATCTATCTTCATAGAATGGATACTCAAACTTTGGATAGTCTTCACACTAGAAGAACCCTCCCCGCATTTATCTTTCCCGACCATATATCTCAAAACACCCAATCACAATTGTGGAACAAACACGAAATAGATCCAACTTGAAAAGATAGAAACTTTACCACAAAGATCCTACCTTTAACACCAACCAAAGCTCTAGATAAACTTTTCAACTGATCTACTCCTCCAAAAAAGCCCAAACGTTGCCTGGAGCTCTGATATCACTTGTTGGGAAAACCCCCGATGCCGAGATCCAATATCAAATAGCCGAGAGAGCAACACACCAAATCAATGTCACAAACAAGATACACCAGTTTTAACGTGGTTCGGCGAATGCCTACGTCCATGAGGCAATGAAGGGGGGGGTTTCACTATTAGAAATCAAGGGGATACAACTAGGGTTACAAATCTCACCAAAAACCCATAACAAATTACTCTTGATCTCTCCCAAATGCTCTAACAATAGAAGCCCACAAAACCCCTCTCAATGGCTGCTAAAATCCTCTTGCACTTTGCCCTAAAATGAGTTTTGAGTATTTATAGAAATCTCAAACGAAACGGGTCTGGAAACAGACTAAACCCAAAAACTACATCGCGGTCGACCGTCATGGTCGACTGCGCAGGCATCGCGGTTGACCGCCCCAACTCCAGAGGCTTTTCCAGATTACCGCCACGGTCGATCGCCAG